GGGGGTGCTGCCGTCCTCGGTTCTCCGTGCGGCTTCAATCCGGTGACCCTGAGTCTTGGCATAAACCTGCGGGATGACCTCAGGCTAGCGATAAGCTTTTGGTGCATCTAAGAGCTGTGGCGTTAACCGTTTCTTTGCCTCTCTCCTCTCCTGCTGTTTGTCTGTGCAAAGGTCAGATGTTTCCATCGGTCGTGAAGAAGAGCGGAGTCGGGAGCTGCTAAGTGCTGATCTGCTTGTGCTCCGGACCATGGACTCATTGAGGGCGTCCCAGGTGTGAAAATGTCCAGCAGTAACCGGGAGTTAGTGATTGACTTTGTTTCCTACAAGCTCTCGCAGAAGGGATACAGCTGGAGTCAGCTGGAGGAGGAGGATGAGAACAGGACTGACTTCGCAGCAGAGGAGGCCGAGATGGACGGCGTCCTCAACGGGAGCCCCTCCTGGCATCCACCCACCAGCCACGTAGTGAACGGAGCCACTGTGCACCGGAGCAGCCTGGAAGTCCGTGAAATTGTTCAAGCAGCCGATGTGAAGCAGGCGCTGAAAGAGGCTGGGGATGAGTTTGAGTTGAGGTACCGGCGGGCTTTCAGCGACCTCACTTCCCAGCTCCACATCACTCCCGGCACGGCGTATCAGAGCTTTGAGCAGGTAGTGAACGAACTCTTCCGTGATGGAGTGAACTGGGGTCGCATCGTGGCTTTCTTTTCCTTCGGAGGAGCCTTGTGTGTGGAGAGCGTTGACAAGGAGATGCGGGTATTGGTGGGACGCATTGTATCTTGGATGACCACGTACTTGACCGACCACCTAGATCCCTGGATCCAGGAGAATGGCGGATGGGTAAGAACTCCTTTCCATGGTGGGGATGGCTGCCCGCATCCTCCCTCGCTCCAGGCCGGCAGCAGTGCCGGTCAAACCGGAGCACGGCTCCCTGTTTATGGCTAGCGCATGTCTTAGACCTTGCAGGGAGATAAAGGGGTGTGCGGCCGTTCCCTCTATGCTCTTAAGGCTCTGCCCCAAGAGGGTCACTCCACGGCGATGACACAGTTTATACTCAGATGTGTCCTTCTCCATCCCTGTTTCTTCTCCTTCTCCCTGGATGTTACATAAAAGACCTGTTTTCCAAGAGCCTTTGGAAATCTAATGTCATCCAAGCTTGTTCTTCAAGTGGGAACCCTTGCTCTCAGGCATGTTCCTGGTGTCATTTAACAGCAGGGAGTGGAGCTTCCTCCTCTCCGAGCATGCAGTGCTCCGGCGGGCCGGCCTGCGGTCTGCTGGGGTAAGAGCTACTTCTTCATTCTGGAGTCAGGACTTTGCCTTCTGCTGTGCTCCCAGTGAAGCAAATCCCACAGCGGATCTGGGTGTGTGGGTGGGGGGGCCTGCCTGAGCCGGTGCAGTGGGAGACAGGGCTGAGGTGGGGGCAGCCTCGGCGCTGGGGAGCTGCTAAACCTGCAGCTGCTTCTTCCTTGGCAGGGAGCAATGCTCCCAGCTGCCCCAGCAGCAAACCCCAGTAGGCTTTCAGTGGTGAGGTATTAACATGAATAAGCATTTCTTCGGGAAGCATTCTTGAGATTCCGGGTCCGGCTGTGCGGTGCCTGGGACTGCCAGCGGGAGGTATACGACCTACAGATGTCTGAGTTTTCTTTTTGCTTCTGCATCTTAGTGATTCCCTGCTGCTGTAACCTTTACTGGTGCCCGCTGGAAAGAGTTCATGCTGTCAGGCGTTAGCATCTAACGGCGGGGAGCTGCCTTGCTGGCGAGCTGAGGCCTTTCCGCCCTCTTCACCTCCTACTCCATCGCCAGGCCCCTGCATCTCAAGGAGAGGGCAGGAACCTTTGAGCCCAGCGCTGGGCTCTGCGCCCTCCTGACAGAGGAGAGGTGCAGGACCCCCGCAGAGCTCCCCGGCTCCTGGAGCCCGGCCAGCGATGCAGGGGACCCCGGAGAAGAGGGGGAGTTGGGTGCACCCAGGGTGCAGGAATTCCAGGAATGCGGCCGCCCTGGGGCACTGCCTGGGTGGGGCTGCTCAGGCGGAGGAGCTCGGCTTCGATTAATAACCCGGGATCTGCTAGCCATTTCATCAGGCTGTATCTGGCCCATTAGCTCTCTCATCCTGCAGACAGCCCTGGCCAAATGCTGAGTTCCTTCCCCCTCCCTCTGGCTTTGGCTTTTAAAGCCACAGATTAGTCTTGGAATTGAGTGATCAAACTGAGGTTTCCAAGCTAGTGTGGCTGTTGCTGTTAGTGACGGATTGGGCTGTATCCTGGAGACCTAGGCGATAATGCAATCTGATTTTTTGTAAATGAACTCTCTGGGGGATTTAGATTAAATCACTGGTGGAAAATCACTGGTCCCTGCTTGCGGGGAATGAAATACCTCCTCCCTCTGTTCCCTACCCCCAACCAGCACGGTTAAGACTCTTCAATTTTTTTGTGTCTGCCTGTAAATTCATTGTTTGGAGCAAATATTTGTTCAACAGATTGCAGAGGGGTCAGGACTCCTCTCTATCTGACCCGCCCACCGGCTCTTGCTTTGAAGATGGCTGTTAGCCGTGTTTCCCACCCAGGGGAGCAGCCTTGCTCTCTTCTTTTAACCTTGAACGGGGCTTCTAACTTCACTGCTCAGGCTGTGCTGCTTCCCTGGGCTGTGCCGGTAGCTGAAGGGGAGCCGGGCAGGGAGGTAAAAGCCATAGTGGGTGGGATCCCACCCCACCAGCCAAAAGGACTGGGCAACGTGGCTGCTGCCAGTCTGTTGCAAACCCCGACCGGTGCTTGGTTGACGTCTCAGCTGTAGCTTTCCTACATGCTCAGGTTTCACCATGTCCCTTTGCGTGGCAGGGGGGTGGCCGGTCCCTTTGCGAGGCAGGGGGGCGGCCGTGGGGCTCCAGGCGAAGGGACAGCACGGTGCAGCGGTAGCACAGGGGCCGCGAGAGCTCCCGAGCGCCTCACGCGTGGGGATGCTCCGCTTCGCTCTCACGCGACTCCAGCTGCGGGGAGAAAACTGCTGGCCTGCTGCCAGCTCGCCCTGCAAAGAAGAAAGTGCCAGCCTGCAGTTGCTGTGATGGAGCCGTCCCTCTCTTGCCGCCCTGTTTGCACAGGGGAGCCTGTCTGGTGCATCTGAGCTGTTAGAGCCTGTCCCAAGCAAACAAAGCTCTCCCGAGCGGTGCAGCAGGCAGGTCCCGGTGAGAGGGATGCAAGTTCTGGCAGGCCTGCTTGGCAGGGACCAGGTGGTTTGCGTTTTGGAGCGCTGCAGCACTTCTCTTCCTGGAAAGCCCCTCTGAAAGAGGGAATGAGCGTGGCTCCATCACAAGTGTCGCACAGCCTGGTTGCATAGGAAGCTCTGTTTCATTCCCCACCAGCGGAACAAAGGCAAGCGGAGGACGGCCACGGGGTGCAGGTTTGCCTTTGGAGGGGCCTGTTAAGGCTGCTGTGTGCTGGGCTGCAGCAGTTTTCTTGAGAAACTGTTTTTTGAGGTGAGGGGGAAATGGCAAATCTGGCTACGTAGCGTTAATATGGGTGTATTTTGTCACGTTCGCTGGCCCTGCCTTGGTTTGCCCTCCTCTCCGCAATCTGGCACTGAGAAAACAAACAAGAACAACCCGAGGGGGGCATTTAATAACCAGGCAGAAGAGAGCTGCTGCCTTGGTGAGCCATGAAAACCGAGGAGGAGGCTTTCCTGAGGCAGTTGCTTTGGCCAGGACCAAATTCCACTAGCTGTGAAGTTCAAACAGGGATGCCAGAGGGGATCGGGCGTCACGGGGGGAGAAATCTGGTGAGTGGGAACACAGGAGGGGAAAACGTGGGGTGAGTGGGAGAGAGCCTGGCAGGCAGAGGTGTACTGACCGTGCTTAATCTGTTTGAGAAAGGAAAGTGAGCAATAGTTCCTGCCTGGCTGTGACCCTCCAGCCGATGACAGCTTTTCTTTCAAGGTTAAATCTATGCTCAGAGTGAGGTTTAAAGAGGGTGTTCTGTGGGGGCTTGGAGGTAGATCTGTGGACATAGAGGCAAGAGGTTTCCTGTTCGCAGGGCGTATGGTGGGGACCAGCATGAAGGGTCTGTGCCGGGCCAGGACTGAAAGCGAACAGCATCTTTGTCACCAGTCTGTGACATCTGAGCCCCGACAAGCTGGGCTAGGCTGAAGGAGGACGGACTGCTTCCCGCGTTGGCTCTGCGCATCCCGGGCTTTCGGCCGGCCCTGGCCATGCAGGGCTCGGTGTGCTGGGTCATACGTGTTGTGTCGCTCTGCAGCGGACTGGAAGCTTGTGGTTCTGTTTGGGGAAAACCCTTAGAAGATGTCAACATAGCAAACTCATTTTCTGTCTTTTTAATTTTTTTCTTGAATGATAGGAAATGACTCAGCCTATGTCATATGACAGAGCGCAGCTGGGATTTCGTCCTCTGCTCTTGCTCCAACCTTCTCAATGGTTTCAGGTTGAGAGCTAGGCTTGGATCCGCAGCTCTTCAGAAATGCTTTTTGGCCTTGTGCCATTGCCCAGGTACCCTGCGCAAGCCTTCCCTGCGGCCGCTGCGTTATCTAGCTGATCCCAGGTGCCCCAGGATCCTCGCGCCTTCTCGGTCCGAGCTTTTTGGGCAGCGTGGGACAAGCGTAGGTTTGAATTCTGCAGCTGTTGTGCCCTGAGACTCGGAGAGGAGCGCTGCGCCAGGTGGGCACGGCGCGCGTGGAAGGGGCACACCTGCGCGCCGCACCGTGCGGGGAACGCAGCTCCCTCTGGGGCGAGCGCTCTTTGCCAAAGCTCTGCCGTTTTAAGCGTTAACACGTTGGGTTTCGGGGATGCCCCGGCGCTGCTAATCCCCTTTGAGATCGCAGCCATCGGTTTTACTTGCCAGCCAACACGCAACGGAGCTGGCTGTAGGAGGTGACTGCGGATAGCCAAGGGCGCACTTTGCTGTCTTAGCGATGAATCCCAACCAGTGGGGTGCGAAGCTTAGCTGGGCTATCGCTTTCCACTTTGTCATCTGTAATTATTTTACAGTCTGGATCCCTTGCAGCTGGGACGGTGTCCCCATTGTCATCACCTGCTTGGGATGAAAAAAAAAACACTCCCTTCATGTCCCTTCCCAGTACTGCGTGTTCCTCTCTGGCTGTGGGAACTGCCTGCCTGACGGTGGCTGCTGGCAGGGTCTTGGCTGGGGCTGTCCTGCCTGGCGCGTCCGTCCCAGGTAGCTGTATCCTCGCTGGTGGCTGGAGATCTGGGCTCAGCATGCAGATCCCTGGCAGCTTCTCGCCCTGCCTGCGACCTGGGAGGCTTTTAAACAGTGCTCTCCAGGAAATGCCATTGGAATGACTTCCACTGCAGCTTCCTGCCCGGCCCGCAGATCAGCAGCCCTGCCGCTAGACCAAGAACGATGCAGAGGCGAGTTTTCAGAGCTTTGCTCTTCGCCCCATTTACTCAGTTCTCCTTCTTTGGGGCCCTGCCTGTTTTCTTTGCCGCCTCTCGGTGTGCGGTGCAGTTTGATTAAGTTCCTCAGATGTGTGATTAGAGCAGGCGCCTGGAAGGCAAGCTCCTGCCCATCGCAGCCCACTTAACCCCGCAGTCTTTCAGCAGAAGGGACAGCATTTCCTTCCCTCCCAGGGGAGCCACTGGGAACTCGGATTCGTAAAGCACTCTGAGGTTCTTTAATCCAAAGAACGGAGTGTCATTTGAAAAAAAAAAAAAAAAGACCTGTGAAATAATTAACAAACTGTTTCTTGCTGCTCTGTGTTCGCAGCTGCTCTCGGTCATGTCAGTCTTCCTGATCATCCTGCTCCTCTCTGAAACTGGAGCTGGGTCCCCCTGAGCGCTGCCCGGGTCCCTCCCTGTTTCAGCAGCAATGGGGTGTCCCACCGCAGCAGAAGGGGTGGGAGGGAGCACCATGCTCTCTTCCCCCGTGGAAGCTCCGTCTTTCTGTACATGTCTGGGGTGCTGCGCCTGATTTCCATGGAGCTCCTGTACGGTTTGCGTACGTGGTTAACCCCGGGAGCAGCGATACACC